ATTTACAAATTCCTTTTCCCAATGCTAAAATTCATGCTAAACATGTACATCAGACACTCAACCAGGTATGTTATTTCTGTGGTCTAAAAGGACACAAAAACGCATTAATTGTCCAAATAAATCTAATGGCAAATTATGTTTATGGCTGCCACAAATTATGGTCACGTTCATTCCAACTGTCCCAAACGTTCTGGTACTTCTAACCACGGAATCTGGTCCTAATTGTTCTACATCTGATAGTACTGTACATCCCCTTTCCACGCAAAAATTTTCTAAGCACCCTATGCATGTTGACATTCAACTTGCGGGAAACATCTTAACTGCTGTCTATGACAGTGGATCACAAACAACACTTATTACGGAGAAAACATACTGCAAAATTGGTTCTCCACCATTACATCCTTCCAGAATTACATTCTCAGGACTTGGCCGAGACACAGTTCAAAGCATTGGATTCTTTCAGGACTACAGTCAAAAGTCGTTAATCCGGACTCATCGGGACTTCGGCGATTCCGGATTATCGATTTTTCCGGATTATAGATCATCAGTTTAAATCTCGTAAGATGGCATGCAGAAATTACAAAATTAAAAATATGAAACCGTAATTTATGAAATAAAGAACAATTATGATCTAAAGGGTATCAAAATTTACAAAAAGAAAAAGCTTAATATTTATTTGTTTACTTTAGTAAACATTTCCTTCAATGTAAGTTGCTTCGTTTCATGTGATAATACTTTCTCTTTAATTCTATTAAACAGACATAATTTCTTGTTTAGTTACAAAGTTCCGCTGTTCAAGTCCTATAATTGCTGTGTTGAGAATACCGACTAATTTGTCAATCGAAATGTTTTCGTTTTCAAAAACCTCTGGGTCACTTTCTTCACTATCGAAAGCGAATTATAATGACGAGGAACTTGATTTAAATCATATCAAAGACGGAGTATATCGAGATGAAAAGTACGGAATTATAAACCAAATAAAATAAAAACATCTGCCCTGAAGATAAGGATAGTGCTGACAGATCAACTTCCAATCCGCCCCGTGAAATTGATAAACAGATTTCGGATTTCAAAACATACTTTCGCTTTGTAGATACAAATTACATATTAGTAAATATATATCGGAAATTCTATTTGACATAATCTTTCTAATCTATCATAATCTAATAATGACGTTTCTGCCCCCCCCCCTCTGCCGCAGAGCAGCGTGAAATTGATAACAGATTTCGGATTTCAAAACATACTTTCGCTTTGTAGTAAATATATATCGGAAATTCTGTTTGTCATAATCGAAAGTTCAAGCTTACTTTTATAAAACTGGTCTAACAGTCTGCAAAAAATAATAAGCCGGATCCAATTCGAAGATTAAGGAACAACGCAATCAGCAACATTAACTGAATTAGATAACTTTAGCTTAGCGTATAACTCCGTTACACATTAAACGCGCATGCGCACAAACATATTCACAGTCGTAAGGGTCTTACGCGCTCTCGTAAATGCCTGTGCGCATGTACGAATGAACGCATGCGCAGAAAGTTTGTAGCTTTGAGGTCCGGATTATAGATCATTCCGGATTATGGGTGTCCGAATTAACGACTTTTGACTGTACATTCAAATTCAAAACACTATTTTCCCTGCTAAAATCCATGTAGTAAAAGACAATATGATTCCTCTTGATGCCATTTTCTCATAAACTCCTCTTCTATTTTCTCTTAAAATTACAAAAATTTGCACAAAAATGAAGGAAAATTTTCTGAATCTTTAAACTCGGTAAAAAGCACATATATATGAAATTCCCGATCGCGAAAAAGTATATACCCTTTCCAACGATGAACATTTCCACGTATAAAATAAATAAAATATCCAAAAACATTTACCTCTAAATTATCTATTATATTATAAAATGTCACCAACGAATTTTTACCGCAAACATTAAAAATAGTGACAAATACTTAAATTATTTCCATACACCTTTACTTCAACTGAAACGTATATAAAATTGCTACAAACATAAAATTCACAAAATAACTATCATTTAATTAAAATATCACTAAAGCATGCGTACTTCGACTTATTTTTACTTAAAAAAACATCCCAGAATTCCACAAAAATGACATTGCGCACACTCTTCACTATATCCATGTACACTGCTTTTTTGTCATAAATTAGAAAAATTTCACGAAAATACATGAAAATTTTGTGAATCTTTAAATCCGGTAAAAAGAACATATATGAAAATCCCAGATCGCGAAAAAGTATATACCCTTTCCAAATATGAACATTTCCACGTATAAAATAAATAAAATATCCAAAAACTTTTACCTCTAAATTATCTATTATATTATAAATGTCACCAACGAATTCATACCGCAAGCATTACAAATACTTAGTGTCAAATATTTAAATTATTTCTATGCACGTTTACTTCAACTAAAACGTATACCAAATTCCTACAAACATAAAATTCACAAAATAACTATCATTTAATTCAAATATCACTAAACCATGTACACGTCGACTTATTTTTTACTTAAAAAAAATCCCAGAATTGCACAAAAATGGCATTGCGCACACTCTCACTCACCATATCCATGTACACTCACTGCTTTTTTCTCATAAATTAGAAAAATTTCACGAAAGTGCATGACAATTTTTCTGAATCTTGAAACCCGGTAAAAAGAACATATATGAAATTACCTAATAACGAAAAAGTATATACCCTTTCCAAATATGAACATTTCCATGTATAAAATAAATAAAATATCCAAAAACTTTTACCTCTAAATTATATATTATATTATAAACGTCACCAACGAATTCATACCGCAAACATTACAAATACTTAGTGTCAAATATTTAAATTATTTCCATGCACGTTTACTTCAACTAGAACGTATACCAAATTTCAACAAACATAAAATCACAAAATAACTATCATTTAATTAAAATATAATTAAATTCAAAAACACTACTTAAAATATAAATAAGCACATACATTAAATTAATAAAAATTAGCTTACAATCCTAATTACTTTAAACTAAATCATTGCTAATAACAATTTTCCCAATAATACCAAATTACTTTACTTCCACCTTACATTTAGAACAATGCATAAAATAATATCCTCAAATAATTAAAAATACTAACTTACCTAATCTTCTTCAGAATCTTTGCTTACGTGGATGGATACACTTTTATTATGATGGATTCAATAAAATTATTGAACAGATTTTTTCTGCGAATTTTTCCTCCACACACTTCCTTTGCTAAATAAAAAGCAAAATTCTCTTTATCACAATGCCTACGGAATGGCGCTTTTTATAGCACTCCACGTGCCCTCTATTGAAACTGGTATGTGCACCTGTTTCAGGATCTTTAAAATAATATTTTATGGTTCACAGCAAGATGTTTAAAACCTTCATCCTTCCAAACATTCATATGATTTAAAGCAATCTGAAATAATTATAGTATCCCAGTAGAATATATTCTTTTAATAAAACTTAATAAACAATCTTTACTTCTATCTCACACACAACCTTAAAAAAACATTTGTTACTACCCCTACCCCTTTCAATCCCACAAAACACCCATTTTCCTTCCACTCTCCTACCTCTCTGATACTTACTTCCCGCTTCCCAAACTTACTCTCATCAATTTCCACAATAACGTTCATACCACCAAGCATACCCATATCATTTTCGCAAAATTCCACGCACACTTCCGTACAAAAAGAATTCCAATCAGCTGCAGCAGTCCTACTGCTAATTTCTAAATCCGAAATCCAATAGTCAACTGGCAATCTATTCACCCAATAATAAGAAATCAATAAAATCTCACCATCTCACCCATACTCAAACGACTTTCAGCAAACCACGTACCCTTCCTTACACTCCGTTTCACAAAATGTCCATTTTCACCAGATTTCTTGCACCGCCATTCAAACTTATCAGTAATATCCTTCCTTCCTTTCACACAATCTCATTTCATTCCCACATTTTGAACATTCATACTTATCCGCAATTAAACCTACACTCATGCACCATTCAACCAATTCTTTGAATTATCACACAAATGCATTAAAAATCTAGAATTCACTTTAGACAGCGCCATACAATCCCAAAATTATATTCACCCTACTTCACACAACACACAATGAAGCTTAATACAAAATAATATACAGCTACAGATATTTTTCCAAATTCCCCCCTTTTCCGATTAAAGAACCGTAATTCGTCCATTAATATCACATCATGACATATCCCATGATCTCTCATTTTACCTCACACAAAATAATGCGTAATCGGAACTGAGTACTGCTCACATTATTACCAAAGTCCCAGGTAGTAACCTTTATCGCCTCCAAAATGTCGCCAAACTACCAGTTACCATATTCTAAAGATCAGCCTAAAATTGTGTTGTATAACCCACTTCTGAGGAGGAAGACTTAGACAAGACATATAGGACATTAAAATAAATGTATTATTACTACATTACCATATTATTGTATTACACAAGATTAAACTAATTAATTTCAGTACTATTTCTTTTACTTATGCCACGCCATGTATATTCCTCTCTACTTATCTAAAATTTTAAATTAAGCAAAAAAGCAACTTTAGTTTAATTCAGATTTTGAACAAAACTCTTTCACCTTTGATGGAAATCAGATACATGTTTCTCTTGTTCAGCAACAAATTTGAAGAAAACAGACCCATGTATGACTGACCTTGAAAAACTACAAAAACTTCATCAAATTGAGGTTGCTTTTATGCCTAATTTTAAATATATGTATAATAACAGCAAAATTTCAGTCGACATTATAAAATATTATATCTTATTAAAAATTTTAATTTTTTAATATAATCTTAGGCATTATAATTAAAGCTTTATTATATAATGCCTTAATTTCAATATTTTGCTTTCTTATAAAGCAAATTAGTCCATTTGTAATTTTTAAAATATTTTTTTTATGAAAACCATAAAAATAAAAAGCACATACATTACAAAAATTGGATGTCACTGAATGATGCTTTAGTAAACCAATGCCTTTCAGATGCTGTGGAGTCAACAGTTGTGGAGGATTAGGCACATTGAAAAGAGTTGGCACAGCATTGGGCTTTAGTTTTTTACGTCCATCTTGCCTAGAGCATTCATATTGATTTTCTTCAAAATGTACCTGCAAATTTATCAAAAGCATGCATGAAATTTAACAGTAAAATCAAAAGCACTAGTATTTACTTAAAGTTATATGTATTATATTAATTTAATCATTCTTTTAAGAATGCAATTTCCTGATATATTTTAATTTTTATACAAAAATAGAACAAAATTAAGAAAATGTAATTAAGTTTGTAAAACAACTTAAAACATATTTCCTGTTCATACACTGAAAATAAATTTAACATAACTACAGTTAAAAATACAACATGAAGATTTACAGGTGAAGTGCAAAATCAATCACCCACTTGTTTGGCACTTTTTACAAGAGTAAGAAGAACTGGATTTTTGTCAATTTTCTTTGACGTTTTAAATGAAAATACGTTGATGTGTACATGGACAAAGTCAAGGAAGTGTGCAATGCCGAATTTGTGCAATTGTCTGGTGTTCTTTTTAAGTGAAAATAGGTCGATGTGTACATAAATACAGAGTTTGTGCAATTTTTAAAAACGCGCCCTTTTCCCGATTTACTACTACATAAAGTGTGATAATGGGACCAAAATGATTCGTCGAATATTTAAATGAACACTTAACGTCTTCAAAATGCATAAAAAGTACAGAATATATTTATTTTACTGTAAAGAAAAACCAAAATAATTCATTATTTAGATCATACTATCCAGTTTCCAGTTTACTGGCGCCAACTAACAGATTTAGCGTTAGAATCATACGGTACAGTAAAATTAAAAAAAAAAAGGCACATCACATTTCTAACCGAGCACAAAGTTTACATGAAATGTATGATACAAATTTTACAAACGGTATAAACTTTTCACGATAACAAAAGAAACAACATCATAAACAACGATATTTTACTGCACAAACACATACACATTCCGCAGTTGATTTTGTACTTATAAAATCAGTTGATCGTCAATAAGTGACAGTTAAATGAAAATACAATATTTTAAAGTACCAAGAAGAGTAATTTTTCTAACATTCTATGGAAAAATACGAAGCTGAACTTACCTCACAAAGATACGCTCCTGGGCCCGGGATCCATTGATCTCGACGAGAATTAACTATCCATTTTCTTCGTCTTTCTTCATTTCTAGGGAAACGAAACATCCTAAAGTTATTTTTAGACTGATTCGAACAATTTGGTGCAGCACAACCACCCATTTTTTCTGAAAATTAGGTCGGAATCGATCCACAAATATGTCAAGAAATCAGTGCTAATCCAATAGCGAATACCAACAAGTTAGCTTCAAAATGGATGATGATTCAGCTCCCCTTTATAGTAGCCTTAGATGAGGAAGAAATTCCGTCAGAGCCAAGGGTTTAAAGGAGGAGCCTTACCCCCTAACTGTTCTTTCTACGGACCTTGCTTTCTACGGACCTTGGTTCTAATCTCCTTGTTTCGCACCTAAGCTTGATTTATCTTCCATTGGGGCAGAAAGACTTAGCTGGTGCAAAACAAGACTTCTGTCTACTTTGTCTGTCTATCTGTAATTTGCGAAAACATGTGTTTACAAATTTTGTAAATAGTTGTTGTTCCTCATTATGACATGCTTTATTCTTCATTTTCTAATACAAAAATTTTTCTTTGACTGAAATTCTGATAAATAATTTTCATTTTGTCAGCTGTCTTTTTAAGGTAAAATTTTCATGAATTGCTTTCAATCTGTAAAAATTTTCAAATTAACTTTCACAATTTTTGCATTTCGAAAGTGTGCAAAATGTATTTAATTTTTGATTGAAGGGCAGTGTAATAACTAATGCGAAAATTGCTCATGTAATATTTCAGTAACTGAATTTCGAGTGCAAAAGAACATTGTTCATCTTAAATGTCCACAGATGCTTAGTCAGATTGAAATCTGGGGACTGCAGTTTAATCCATTGGTAAAAATTTACAATTGGGTGCCCCTTGTTTTTTGGTGATTCTTTTTTGACGCCAGGAAGACACAATTTCAAGATGGATGCTACACAAAACCAAAATAAGAAGTCAAGGTATTGCACAAACTTTATGTCCATGTACACATCGATCTGTTTTCACTTGAAAAAACATCCTAGAATTGCACAAACTAGGCATTTATACTGCCTTAAATTTGTCCATGTACACATCAATTTATTTTCGATTAAATAAAATCAGGAAGCTGAAACAATCATGGTAACCAGAAGTGAGGTTTCATCACCAAAATTTTTTTTAAAAATTGTCGCTAATCGAAGGGGCACCCAATTCTACACTAGAGCCAATTCAGTAACCACTGCATATTTTTCATAAAATTCTCAAAAAAAAAAAAAAAAAAATCTAATTTGAATTGAGGACAAAATTCTAAATAGACTTGTATCATTTGCAGAATTTTTTTTTTGTGTGTGTGTGTAAATTTTAATTTTTTTAGTAATGTACAATTATTTGAACATGCACGTCTTTTCCTTAATTGTGGTTTTCATCATGTTCCTGAAAAACTGTAGTACATTATAAAATTGCATGTATCATATAAATAATTGGTACTTTTCCATTAACCGGGCGCAAGCGAAAAATCGCCAGATAATATAGAATTCCGCCTAATTTCTTACAACCATAAGGGGAATGTTCGTTTGGGCCATATGCTCTATTCTCTG